CCTGCTTCTCTAGGGGATCCAGATGGTGGTACTTTTGTGCTAAGAGGAACTGACGTTTTGAGAAACATCAGCATGCCATTTCAAGGATTGGGATACAGCACAGGGGACTCAGTTAAAATTGAGCTAAAATGTCCCCGTAACTTCCTCTCCCAAAAATGGCTTCTTGGGAGGATGTGACTAGCGTCTCTCAACCACCTGTTTGAATTGTGGATTTGGGGTTTACTAGTAACTCTGCTGTGGCTTGAAATAGTAGAAAGAGCTTAAAACTTGGCACCAAAAGATGGGAGTTTGAATCTTAGCTCTATCACTTACCTGGTTGACCCTGGGTATGTTATTTAAGCTCTGCACCTCAGTCTCCTCATTTACAAAATACGAATAATACCTATACTTCATGAGCTTTTGGGGAAGAAAGTTATTTGTGTATTTGATCATGTGGTGTAAGGAATAGTCAATCCCACATGGCCTAATATTATCTACACATACCATCTCTGCACATCCACACAGGATACGTCCCATGGAGAATGCTCACCTACTCCTCACCCTCACCTCCTGGAAACCTTAGCTTTTTTTAAAGCTCCTCTCAGGAGTCAATTCCCACCAGAAGTCTTCCCTGATCCCTGCAGTTGTCAGTCAAAAAGCAATTGTTAAGTGTGTACTATGTGCAAGGCACTGTGCTAAGCTATTGGGATACAAAGAAAGGCAAAAACACAGCTCTTACCCTGAAGGAACTTACATTCTAATTAGAATAACAACATGTGAATAACTATGAACATATAAGATATATACAGAATACAGGGAAGGTTATCTTGAGGGGAGGCACTGGCAGTTGGGGGACCAGGAGAAGGGTCCTGTAGAAGGTGGGATTTGAACTGAGTGTTGAAGAAAGCCAGGGAAATGAAGGGGTGGAGATGAGGGGGCAGAATATCCCAAGCATGGAACACAGCAAGTGCAGAGGCTTGTATTTGTATTCTCAGTGCTTAGCACAGGGCTTGGCACATAGTAGGTGCTTAATAAATGCTTGTGGACTGGCTGACGGGGTAAGGAAATAGAAGGTCACGGTGAGAAGCAGCAAATAGTATAGCTGATTCATTGAATGTGTGGAAAGGAGTAAAGTATAAAGTGTAAAAAGATTAGAAAGGTAGGAAGGGGCCAGGCTGTGAGGGGCTTCAAATGCTAAATGGAGGGATTTAAATTGGATCCTGGAAGCCAGAGAAAACCACTGGAATGTGTTGTGAGGTGTTGTGAGGTGACATGGTCACACAGAAAAATCACTTTGGGTACTGAAAGATGGATTGGAGTGGGGAGAGATTTCATCAATTGGTGAATCAGTTAGAAGAATCGGCAGGGTGATCAATTAGAAGAATATTGCAATCGTCCAGGCAGCAGATGATGAGAGCCCACACTGAGATCATGACTATGTGAGTGAAGAGAAGGGGATGTGTACAAGACATGTCACAAAGGTACAAATGACAAAGTTTGACAACATATTGGATGTGTGAAGTGAGTGCAGGTAAGGAGCTGATGATGCCACCTAGGAGGATAGGGGGATGGGGGTGCCTTTGACAGCAAAAGGGATGTTTGGAAGAGGGGAGGGTTCAAGGGGGAAAAGATAATGAGGTCTGTTTTGGACTTGTAGAGTTTGAGATACCTGAAGGATACCCAATTCAAGTCAGCCAGTGCACAAGCATTTATTAAGTAGCTACTAGGTGGCAGACGCTGTGCTGTATGGGGGATACGAAAAAAGGCCCCAAAAAAGTCAGTACCTGGACTCAATGAGCTCCCAGTCTCATGTGGGAGACGACATAGAACTATGTACAAATAAGATAGAGACAGGATAAAGTAGCGACGATAACCAGAGGGACAGGGAATAGGGGAAAACTTCCTGTAGGAGATGACATTCTAGCTGGGACCAGAAAGAAGCTAGGGAAGCCAGGAGATCCAGCTAAGGAAGAGGAATATTCCTAGGAATAGGGATAGCCAGTGAAAATGGAAAAAGTATCTTGTTTGAGGAACAGAAAGGAGGCCAGTGTCACTGGGTCAAAGAGCATGTGAGGGTCCAGAACAAGAAGTCTGGAAAGGAGGGTGGGGGCCAGGTTTGCACAAGGCTTTGAATGCCAAGCAAATGATTTTATATTAGATCCTGGTGGTGATAGGGAGCCACTGAATGTTCATTGAATGAGAGGGAGTGTGTGACATGGTCAGACCTGTGCTTTAGGAGCATCATTTCAGTTGAGTGAAGGGTGGACACTTGAAACCGGGCTACCAATCAGGCTTTTGCAATAATCTAGGCATGAGGTGATAAGGGCCTACACCAGAGTGGTGGCAGTGTCAAAGGAGAGATGGGAAGGTATACAAGAGATGCTGTAAAAGTAAAATCAACAGATCTTGGCAACAGATTAGATATTGGGGGTGAGAGAAAGGGAGGAGTTGAGGATGAAACGTAGGTCTCAAGCCTGGCTGACTGAGAGGTTGGTGGTGCCCTCAACAGCCATAGGGAAGTTAGGCAGAGGGGAGGGTTTGGGGAGGAAAGGTAATGAGCTCAGTTTTGGACACGGTGAGTTTAAGGAGTCTATTGGACATCCAGTTAGAGATGTTTGAAAGGCAACTGGAAATGGGAATGTGAATCTAGAGGTTAGGACTGGATAGGTAGATCTGAGAATCATGAGCACAGAGATGACAATTGAATCCATGGGAGCTTATGACATTATCAAGTGAAATAATATAGAGAGAGAAGAGGGCTCAGGAAAGAGCCCCTGTGAGACACTCATGGTTAGCAAGCATGACTTGGATGAAAATCCAGCAAAGGAGACTGAGAAGGAGTTGTCAGAGAGGTAGGAGGAGAACCACGAGAGAGTAGTGTCCTGAAAACCAAAAGAGAAAAGAATATCAAGGCAAACAGGGTGGTTGACATTGTCAAAGGATGCCAAGAGGTCAAGAAGCATCAGTGTTGAGAAAACGCCATTAGATTTGGCAATTAAGAGATCATTGGTAACTTTAGAAAGAGTGATTTCTGTTAAATGGTGAATTCAAAAGCCAACCTATTAAGAAAGGATAAGGGGCAGCTAGGTGGCGCAATGGATAGAGCACTGGCCCTGAAGTCAGGAGTACCTGAGTTCAAATCTGGCCTCATACCAAACACTTGACACTTACTAGCTGTGTGACCCTGGGCAAGTCACTTAACCCCAACTGCCTAAAAGAAAAAAAAAAAGCTTAAGAAGAAAGTAAGTGGAGGCATTGATTGTAAATGGCCATTGTATTGTAGAAGGTTGTTGTGGGTTTTGGTTTTTTTTGTTTGTTTGTTTGTTTGTTTTTTTTTTTAAGAATTGTCCCGAAAGCAAGACTAGAGCTCAGAAAGACCAAAGCTGGGTATGTAGATTTGAAAATCACCTCCAAAGATAATTGAACCCATTGGAGCTGATGAGAATAGCCAAGCAAAATAGGATAAAGGGAGAAGAGAAGAGGGCCCAGGACAGAACCCAAGGTTAGTGGGCATGTTTTAGATGAGGATCCAACAAAAGAGACTAAGAAAGAGCAGTTTGATTGGTAGGAGAACCAGGAGAGGGTAGTGTCTCAAAAGCCTAGAGAGAAGAAAGTATCCAGAAGAACAAGGTGATCTTCAGTGACATATGAAGCAGAAAGTTCAAGAAAGATCAATTAATCAATCATCAAACATTTATTAATTGCCTTCTATGTATCAGGCACTGTGCTAAGCAATGAAGTTGGAGAAAAACCCATTGGATTTGGCAATTAAGAAATCACTGGTAACTTTGGAAAGGGTAGTTTTTGCTGAATGATGAGGCTCAAAGCTAGACTGTAGAGGATTTTAAAATGCTCATTTTTAAATTGGTAAGAGGAATGAAAATGGTGGCCCTTATATTAGATGGCCTTCTCAAGCAGTTTAACCAAAAAGGAGAGGAGAGCTGTGGAATGGTAACCAGTGGGAATGACAGGATTAATGGAGGATATTTTTAAGGATGGAGGACACATGGATATATTTATAGGCAAAAGAAATGGAACCGCTAGATGGGGAGAGCTTGAAGATAAAAGAAAATGGGAGCGATAATGGGAGCAAACTGTTGAAGAAAATGGGAGAGGATAGAATGAAGGCTGCACGTTGGGTTGTTAATGCTTTCTTCCCTAAAATGACCCCTAGTATTTATCTTACTTTCCATTTACGCTGTATATATCTTGTTTACATGTTTACATGAACTGATGCATAATGAAGTGAACAGAACCAGGAGAATGTTGTACGCAGTCATAACAATATTGTTCGATGAAGAGCTGTGAATGACTTAGCTATTCTCAGCAGTGCAATGATCCAAGACAATCCCGAGGAACTAGTGACGAAGCACGCTATCCACCTCCAGCAAAAGAACTGATATTGTTTGAATACATACCGAAATATGCTATTTTTTACTTTCTTTCATTTTTTTCTTTTATTCGGGTCTTATTGTACAGAACGATTAATATGGAAATGTTTTACATAATTGCACACATATAACGTATCTGATTGCTTACCACCATCTCAGGGAGAGGGGAGAAGAGGAAGGGAGGGAGTGAGGGATAGAACTTGGAACTCAAAACTTTAAATAAAAATGTTAAAAATTTATTGAAGTAATTCTCAAAAGAAAGAATGCAAATTATCAACAATCACATGAAAAAAATGCTTCAAACTGCTAATGATAAGGAAAATGCACCAAGGTTCTAATTCATATCCATCAGATTGGCAGAGATGACAAAAACAAAATCAGAGTTATTGGAGGGGCTGCAGGAGGACAGGCTTATTGATGCACAGTGCCTTCCTTCTCTTCATCATTTCCTATTTATTCTCTCTATAACTTGTTTTTATATTTTCTGTCTCTTCCATTAGATTGAGAGCAGGAGCTATCTTTTGACTTGTTTAGTATTCCTAGACTTAGCACAATGCCTGGCATATAGCAAGTGATGAATAAATGTTTACTGATTGATTGATTATTTTAATATATTAGTGTATGTGTTACCTGGGACACAGTCACTTTGGAGAGCTTCTCTCTTCCTCTTCATTTGTACAATTAACATGCTGTCTCTCTGTCTAGTCTTCTGGTTCACGGGTTTCCAAATTTGCTGTAACGGAACACAAAGTGTCTTTTAATTCCTTCATTTAATTTGTTGCACTACTGGTCTCTTCCTTCCTTTCTTCTGATTTGAATTACAGAGACCAACATTCCATTTGGAACCCCTTTTTGTACATTGTTTTTTATGACATTTTCTGACAATGACACGATTTCTCTCATATGACATATACTTTTGGTTTGGTTCAAGAAATTGACGTGATAAGTACAAGATTAGGGAGGCATGGTGAGAGCGATTTTTCTGAAAAAGATCTGAGGATTTTAGTGGACCATACAAAAATGTGATAGGGTATCCCCTAAAGCTAGTGCAATCTGAGGTTGCATGAAGAGAACGCCCAGAACTAGGGACATGATATTCACACTAAAAGTAAGGTGATCTTGGAGAAGCATAGTATAAGGACGTTGAAAAGCTAGAGAGGAAAGCCATCAGGATGATAAAGGGCCTCAAGTTCTTGACCTATGAAGACTGATTGAAGGAAACATCGAGAAGAAAGGATGCAGGAAGGACGTGACAGCTGTCTTTGAATAGCTGAAAGAGTGTGATATGGAGGAGAGATCAGATTTGTTCAGCTTGGCCCCAGGGAACACAACTAGCAGCAATTCGTGGAAACTGCAAAGAGTCAAATGTAAACTTGATTTAAAGGGGGAGAAAAAGCTTTATAACAACTAGAGTTATCTGAAAGGGGAATGATTTTCCCTCTTAAAAAGTGGCCAGGGGGCAGCTAGGTGGCGCAGTGGATAGAGCACTGGCCCTGGAGTCAACCTGAATTCAAATCCAACCTCAGACACATTATTCTTACTAGCTGTGTGATCCTACGCAAGTCACTTAACCCCAATTGCCTCACCAAAAAAAAAAAAAAAAGTGATCATGAGAGTCCCTGGGTTACAAGAGCCACAGATCACTGTAGAATTCTAGCTTGCAAACCAGTTCTGTTCTACCCTAAAACAAACAGCACCCAAAAAGACCTTTGGAATTATTTATCCTTTTTATCATTTTTTTCATTTTTCACTAATTTATTTTGAATTATCAACAATAACTTCCATAAACTTTTGAGTTTTAAATTTTTCTCCCCCTCCCTCCTCTAGATGGTGTGCAATCTGATATAGGTTATTCATATACATTCCTATTAAACATATTTTCACATTAGTGATGTTGTAAGTAAGAATTAGATCCAATAGGAGGAACCACCAGAAAGAGGAAATAAAACACAACAAAAAAAAAAATAGCAAATAGTATGCTTTGATCTGCATTCAAACTCCATAGCTCTTTCTTCTTTGTGGATAGCATTTTCCATCATGAGGCCTTTGGAGATGTCTTAGATCCTTGTATTGCTGAGAAGGGTTAAGTTTATCAATATTAGTCATCGCACAACGTGGCTGTTACTGTGTACAACGTTCACCTGGTTCTGCTCACTTCACTCAGCATCAGACCATACAAGTCTTTCCAGGTTTTTGTGAAGTCCGCCTGTTCATCATTTCTCATAGCACAATAGTATTCTGTTACATTCATATACCACAACTTGTTCAGCCATTCCCCAATTGATGGGCATCCTCTCAATTTCCAATTCTTTACCACCACAAAAAGAGTTGCTATAAATATTTTTGTACATATGGGTGGGTCCTTTTCCCCTTATTATTATTTTTAAAGCATTCTTCTTCTTCTTCTTATTTCCTGAAAGTCTTTAGATCAATGCTAGATGGCCAATTTTTCAGGCTTGTTTCAGGTTTTGTTTCCCATAGAGACTGAGCTAGATGGACCTCCAAGGTTCTTTTCAACTCCGAAGGTCTGTGCTTCTGGTACATACTTGAGAAATAGGGAGGCCCTGAGCCACATATTGCTGTGCAATGCTGTTGACTCAAGATATTTGGGTTTCAGTAAGGCATCTGATAAATGCCCTCCTAGTATCCTTGTGGAAAAGATAGAGAGCTACGGGCAGGGTTAAGTTGTAATTCATTCTATAGAGTAGGAACTGGCTGGACAAGTAGACCCAAACAGTAGGTAATTAATGGATTGAGGTTCTCTCAGAGATAGGTCTACAGCAGAGTGTTATAGGAACTTGTCATTGGCCTCCTTCTGTCCAATGACTTGAATGAAATCTTGTATGAGCACGATGAATGGTCATCAGATTTGTAGGTGACAGATCTGAGGGAAACGTAGAAGGAAGTGTTCACATCAGGTTGCCATCCTGCCATCAGTGTCCTTGAATTGTGACTGCCAGAGTTGAAAACAAAATTCCAGATGTGGTCTGACTGGTGCAAATAACAGAATTGGGATTCAAAAAGGTCTCAACAGGTTGGAATGATGAAGCTGAACCTAACACAACTACATTTTATAGGGACACATGTAAAGTCCTACCCTTGGATTCAAAAACGTCTAAGCTGTCCAGGCAATATTTTGTGTGACATAGACCTGGAGTTGTAATTGCCTGAGCTTCTGACCAAAGTAGCTTCTTGGACAAAGGCAGACCTCCCAGCACCCCCACCCCTACTCCAACAAAAATCTGATATTTGTGCCAGGCTGAATAACGATCAAGAAATCCAATGAGAAACTACAATGACTATCTCCACTCCATAACTGCCCCCAATTCAGACAGAAGCCGTTCAGGAATGTGACAGAGGGCTGCCAGTACCAACGGAAGCAAACAAACTCACACCCTGAAGCCACCCAACAGCCCAGTGGAGACAAGTCTGACCTGCAAAGGCATATGTAGGCAGACAGAGAGTGGAGGGCTCCTGTGAGAAAGCCCCAGGATGGAAACTCATGGAGTAGGCCTTGGAAGCAATAGGAAGCAGCAATGACCAGAGCGGGTAAAGCATCATTCAGACCAGGACCATTCAGGGTGGAGAGGGAGTGAACATTTATTCAGCAGCTACTATGTGCCAAGCGTTGCGCTAAGTGCTTTACAAATGTCTCATTTGATCCTCATAATAGCTATGCCCAACAACCCTGGTAGGTAGGTGCAAATGACTCCATTTTACAGTTGAGAAAAACTGAGTCAGAAGAGATTAAGTGACTTGGCTAGGGCCACACAGCTAGTAAGTCTCTGAGGCCAGTGAACTCTGGTCTTCCTGACTTCAAGCCTCATGCTAATCCACTGCTCCATATAGGTGGTACTAGGGACCACAGAGTCCCCAGTACTCTGTCTTTAGATACCACTGAGCACCTTGAAAACCCATAACTCTGAATCTTAAAGATCCATGAAGGTCCAACACTAGAAAGGTTTTTTTTTGGTGGGGGGCTAGGCAATGGGGTTAAGAGACTTGCCCAGGGTCACACAGCTAGTAAGTGCTACGTGTCTGAGGCCGGATTTGAAATCAGGTCCTCCTGACTCCAGGGCTGGTGCTCTATCCACTGTGCCACCTAGCTGCCCCTCTAACACTGGAAAGTTGAGGTCAGCACAGGAACTTGTGTGATGGAGGGTAAGACTAGGCAGAGCCCTACCACCTCACTCAAAAGTGCAGCAGAGGGCAGAGCATAATCCTGGAAAAGACCCAATTCATAAATGAAACTGGGGAGATGAATTCACTAAAGAAGGTAACAATCTGTATAAAAAATTATTATAAATCTAGAGATCTCCAAAATTCCAACCTAGAAACTAGAATCTCTACTATATGAGGATTGATTAAAGGAATTGGGGAAGAAAAGGAATAAAGACTGAAAGTAAGGAATCAGAGGGGAAAATGGAATTTCCATGAATGCCTAGAAGAAATGAAGCAAAGAATTTTTTAAGATGAAAGAAAAGTGCTGCAGAAAAATAATTGAAAGAGATATAAATAACTTAGAATAGAAAACAGTATACCTTGTCCATGTGGAGACTCCCTGAAAACTGGTATTGATCAGACAGAAATCCATGATCTCTTAAATGCCTTTTCTCACTCCTCACAATGTCAATCACCAGGTTTTCCTTGATATTCTCTTCTCTCTAGGATTTCAGGATACTACTCTATCCTGGTTCTCTTTCTACCTCTCTGATTAATTCTTCCCAATCTCCTTTGCTGGATTTTCAGCCAGGTCATGCTTGCTAACCATGAGTGTCTCCCAGGGGCTCTGTCCTGGGCCCTCTTCTCTTTTCTCTCTATACTATTTCACTTGATGAGGTCATCAGCTCCCATGGATTCAATTATCATCTCTATGTTCATGATTCTCAGATTTACTTATCCAGCCCTAACCGCTTTCCTAACCTTCATGTCTACATTTCTTTTTTTTTTCTTTTTTTTTTTTAGGCAATTAGGGTTAAATGACTTGACCAGGGTCACACAGCTAGTGAGTGTCAAGTGTTTGGTCTGAGACCGGATTTGAACTCAGGTCCTCCTGACTTCAGGGCCGGTGCTCTATCCGTAGGGCCCCTTCTCTATTATTATTGAGGGCACCAGCATCCTCTCATTCAGTCAGGCTTGCAACCTAGGTGTCCTCCCTTGACTGTTCAATCTCTCTCCCCACCATATCCAATCTGTTGCCAAGCCGGGTGATTTTACCTTCACAATATCTCTCATACGCATCTCCTTCTCTCTTCTGATACTTCCATTACCCTGATGCTGGCCCTCATCTCCTCAAATTGGAACCATTGCTATAGCCTGTTGGTTAGTTTCCCTAAGTGTCTCCCCACTCCAGTCCATCCTCCACTCAGCTGTCAAAAAGATCTTCTTAAAGCATATTTCTGATCAGTGGTTCCCTTTTATATCCAGGAAAATATTAAATCCTTTGGTATTCAAAGCACTTCACAACCTATCTCCTTTCTCTCTTTCTCTGTGCATTTTCACTGGCTTTTGCCATTACATGGAATGCTCTCTCTTCCTACCGGCTTCCCTGGTCCCAGCTAAAATCCCACCTTCTACAGGAAGTCTTTCCCTATCCCTCTTAATTCTAATCCTTTCTTTCTGTTGATTATTTCAAAATTATCCTTTAGATCTCTTGTTTATCTATAGTTGTTTGCAAGTTGTTTCTCCCATTAGACTGTGAGCTTCTTGAGGGCAGGGACTGGCTTTTACCTT